AGAGTATTAGTATACCCAAGTAGTTTGACACATGGTGACAACTGCATTTCACAGGAGAGAACTTTGTGTGTTGTTTTTTTATATATATATATATGTGTGTACTCATCACTGCAGGGATCATTGGCCACCATGATAAGCAGGGGACCTAGGCGATGTCTTGCCAAGAACCTAGAACTCACGGGTAATTGACATTGGAATCATGTCATGATGTGTACCAAGTGCTCAAAGGGGTGTAGTTTGCCCTTCACCAGTTTCACCATGCCAGCGGCACAGCTTCTCCTCCCAACGAGGGTGATAAACTTGGAAATGCGACTTTGGCTTCCGGATTTTGACAAGGTGCTGGTTCAACCCCAGTGTGCCCATGAACTTTGGAAGCCTCCGGAGAACCACATACTTCAATATAATATATAGAATGAGCTAGCGCCCGGGTGCCGCCGACCCCGACACACTGGAGCAGAGCCTTCGCCGCTCATCGCCTCACAATCTGGGCGAACGGTGCATGGTTGGTGTACATGAGTGGGGAAGTAGGATCAGGTGACTCGACTGTACTGGGCTTGTCCTGGCTTTACGATGAACCTGTGATTCTTGGAGAGAGGGTTGCTGGTCGCTGCAGTATTGTCCCACAATTGACAGTTCTTGGACTCTTGGATGTCCTTGGGTACATCTCCAATGCTGCAGGGCTTCGTTACATCCATCGTTCCACCTACCCAACGTTAGCTTCCTTCCCCTCCATGTCGACGCACTAAGGCCCCAGGCCATAGCGAGCAAAAAATATGGTCGACCTCCCCCCAAAAAAACAAAACGCGACATCACCTCGAAGTGAACCGAATCCTTTGTACGCCATGTCAACCTATAGCGTTTCAAGGGATTCGGGCGATTCGGTTTGAGTGGCGCACCCAAGGCTTGAGATCCACAGAAAGACGTTTGGAATCCCGTACCTTGCGCTCATGGTCCATGTCCGCAGGGAATTCAGGAGGCGGCCAGTATGGCAGAACCATTGGCAAGGTTCGAGGGGTTTGAGGGGTTTGAAGGGCAG